ACAGACACAGAATTGTTACTGAGGGGACACAGAATTGTTACTCAGGGGGACACAGAATTGTTACTGAGGGACACACAGAATTGTTACTGAGGGACACAGAATTGTTAGAATTGTTACTGAGGGACACAGAATTGTTACTCAGGGACAGACACAGAATTGTTACTGAGGGACACAGAATTGTTACTCAGACACAGAATTGTTACTGAGGGACACAGAATTGTTACTGAGGGACACAGAATTGTTACTCAGGGACACAGAATTGTACTACAGGGACAGGGACACAGAATTGTTACTCAGGGACACAGAATTGTTACTGAGGGCACAGAATTGTTACTGAGGGACACAGAATTGTTACTCAGGGACACAGAATTGTTACTCAGGGACAGACACAGAATTGTTACTGAGGGACACAGAATTGTTACTCAGGGACACAGAATCGTTGAATTAAAGAGTATGTCAGACAACATGCAGAGGAGTGGCAGAGGAGGCAATGTTTTAGGAGCGAGCAGACGTGGCAGCAGAGGAAGGGGTCGAGGCAGCACTAGTCGCAGCCAGAGGCCAGTGCTCCCGGTGTCATCCAGCGGTCGTGTCTCCACCGACAACCCTGCCGTCATCGATTGGTTGGCTCGGTCGTCGTCTTCCTCTTCCCAGGTCACCTCTGACACCTACAGCCAACGGTCGGTGGGTACGTCAGACACAACCGTTAGTTGGCATGGCCCGGGAGCAAGCCCACTGAAATCACGTGTCCTCTACCTGCCCCTGTCCTTTGGTGTTCCCTCACCAAGCGAAGTATCGCATGCTGTGGGCTCAGCCCCACTGTACAGTGAGGAAGAGCTAACAGAGGGCGGTCAGGAACGGGGGGAGACATCCGCCTCTTCAGCAGCCAGGCGAAGAAGTACTACTGGCGAGGAGAGTGGCTCGGTAGCCGGTCTAGAGACAGGTCTGTCTCCTGACCCACACGCAGCCGAGGGGGCTAGTAGTGAGGCGGAGACCCTAATTGATGATGATGAGGCTGATCGCACTTGGCAGCCTCGTCGTCATCAGGCTATTGCTTCCGCATCATCAGGAGAAGAGGGTGCCAGCTTGGCAGCGAGCAAAACAGTCGGTGGGTTGCCCAGGAGGCAGCAGGGTCGCAGCAGTGTCAGTGGAGGCAAACGGCCACGGAGTAGAGCACCAGCTCCACTGCAGCCTACCACCACGGCCAGTAGTGGTGCGGGTGTGCACGGAGGAAGTTGCAGTCAGCCAGTGAGGAGTAGCGGGGGCAAAGTTTCCTACTCAGCAGTGTGGCAATTTTTCGTCAAGCCGCCCGAGGAAGTAAACGTAGCCGTATGTCGACTATGTGGCCAGAAAGTCAAGCGTGGCCAGGGGGCCCATGTTGGGACTACAGCGTTGCGGCAGCATATGCAGCGTCGCCATTTGGTGGCCTGGGAAAACCGTGATAAAGATACGGCAGTTCTGCCTGCCCCAGCCCCCGCTCCATCACCCGCTCCGTTACTTGCTCCGTCACCCGACGTCAATCGCCCTCTATCAGCCAGTCAAGGCTCCAACACCCTGCTGCTGAGGGGAGTTGTCGCTCGTTGGCATCTTCCGCTCATTCAGATGCTCCTTCTCCTGCTACTCCTCTTCACGGATTCCGTCAGCAGTCTTTCTTGGAATCCGTTTCCAAGAGACAACAGTTTGCGAGCACGCACCCGACGGTGCAGAAGCTGAACGTCCTCCTGTCCAAGTTGCTGGTGCTGCAGTCCCTCCCTTTCCAAGTGGTGGACTCAGCACCTTTCCGAGAAATGATGGCTTGTGCCGCGCCGCGCGCGGTGGAGAGTGCCAAGCCGGCATTTCTTTGCCAAAAAGGCAGTGCCAGCCCTGCATTCACATGTAGAAGAGATGGTGGGCCAGTCTTTGAGCATGTCGGTCTCTGCCAAAGTGCACGGCAGCGCCGACGTGTGGAGCTGTAACTACGGTCAGGGACAGTACATGTCATTTACGGCCCTGGGTGAACGTGGTGCCGGCACAGCCGCACCAGCAACTTGGACAGGTCACGCCGCTTTTGCCTCCACGTTTGCACGTCCTTGGTCCGGCAAAGATGTCCGCCTCTACCACCTCTTCTTCCGCCGTGTCCTCAGCCGCCACCCCCGTGCCAAGTCCCATTACCCGACCGGCATATCACATGTGCAGGGCGCAACGGTGTCACGCTGTGCTGCACCTGGTATGCCTTGGCGAACGTAGTCACACAGGGGAGGAACTTCTGAGTGTAATGAACAGAGAAATCGACAGATGGCTGTCTCCGCGCAAACTGAAAATCGGAACCATGTTGACCGACAACGGAAAGAACATGGTGTCTGCTCTGCGTCAAGGAAGGTTGTGCCATGCGCCATGCATGGCTCACGTGTTCAATCTGGTTGTCAAGCGGTTCCTAAAATCCACCATCCCACTGCAAGACATCCTCCTTAAAATGTCACGTAAACTTTGCATGCATTTCAGCCATTCCTACATCGCAAAGCACACCCTCCTTGAGCTGCAGCGGCAGAACGGAATTCCACAGCATCGCCTGATCTGCGACGTTGCAACAAGGTGGAATTCAACCCTACACATGTTAGACCCGCCTTTACGAACAGGAATAGGCCATCACCGATTTCCTGATGTTACAAGCGGATAAAGGTACTCCCCTGTGTAACTTCGATGTCAGCCATTGGCAGCTCATGCGTGACACCTGCCGCTTGCTCAGGCCCTTTGAGGAGGCCACGCTATTCGTGAGTCGGCAGGACTATGGGATGAACGACGTCATTCCTCTGTTGCACGTCCTGGAACAAATGCTGTTAACAATGGCTGGTCAGGGTGTGGTAGACGTGGCGCACAGATCTCAACGCCACATGACCCCTGTGGGGGCAGGACAGGAAGAAAGAGGAGGAGGTAGAGGAGGACATTGGTGCTCAGGAATTATTGAGTGAAATGGGTGGTTTTTCCACTCAGCGGACAGGAGTGGAGGAGCAGGAGCATCTGGTAGAGGAGGAGGAGGAGACAGAGGACCCAGACGCACCGTGGCAGTATGCTGTGGAGATGGAGGCAGGGAGTCCCTCGCATTCCTTGGCACAAATGGCCCATAGCATGCTCGGTTGCTTGCGTAGCGACAGCCGAATAATAACCATCAGACAGAGGGATGACTTTTGGCTGTCCACCTTGTTGGACCCTCGCTACCGTTCAAAAATGGTGGCCTTTTTCACACCTGCTGAGAGGGAGGCCAAAATAACGTACTATAAAAACCACCTATGTAGTCAGTTGGTCTCTGCCTTTCTGCGCCAACGTCCATCCTCAGACACTGTGGGCCCTGTGCGCTCGCGTTCCGCTGCCATGGCAGCAGGGGAGGGGGTGGGGTGGTAGGAGCAGTGGCAGCTCCACCAGCAGCGGCTGCCACAGTCTGCAGTCGATGATGAGTAGCTTTCTTCACCAGCGCAGTGAGGAAAACTACTAACCAGCCGCAGCAGCAGCAGCATCAGGTGGACCTGGAGCAGGACCTCAAACAACAGGCTTGGGCCTACTTGGACAGCACCCTGCCAACCGAGGTAGACAATCCCCTTGACTACTGGGCAACGAAACTTGACCTTTGGCCCCAACTAGCTGAATTTGCCCTTGAAAGGCTGTCATGCCCGGCCAGTAGCGTGGCATCGGAGCGCGTGTGTTTAGTGCGGCAGGAGGTATTGTAACTCCGCGGAGGACACGACTGTCCACCCAAAGTGTGGAGAGACTCACGTTTGTGAAAATGAATCAGGCGTGGATTAGTCTGGATTTCAAACCACCAGTTCCTGACACAACTGACTAAATCCGCCATGAATCATGCCCCAAACATGTGCCACTTTCAGGTCTCCTCACACTGCTGGTGTGTTCCATTTTGTCATAGGGTGATGGCAGATTACGGGCCTCCCATTGCTGCTGCCAGGCCTGTAATCTACCATGGGCCCCCGTACCGCCTCCTCATGCTGCTGCCAGGTCCACAGTGTCTCATGGGTCCCTGTACGGCCTCCCATTGCTGCTGTCTCCATCGCCACACTCTGCCATGTGCCACTTTCAGGTCTCCTCACACTGCTGGTGTGTTCCATTTTTTTCCATTTTGTCATAGGGTGCTGGCAGATTACGGGCCTCCCATTGCTGCTGCCAGACCTGTAATCTGCCATGGGCCCCCGTACCGCCTCCTCATGCTGCTGCCAGGTCCAGAGTGTCTAATGGGTCCCTGTACGGCCTCCCATTGCTGCTGTCTCCATCGCCACACTCTGCCATGTGCCACTTTCAGGTCTCCTCACACTGCTGGTGTGTTCCATTTTGTCATAGGGTGCTGGCAGATTACGGGCCTCCCATTGCTGCTGCCAGCCCTGTAATCTGCCATGGGCCCCCGTACCGCCTCCTCATGCTGCTGCCAGGTCCAGAGTGTCTAATGGGTCCCTGTACGGCCTCCCATTGCTGCTGTCTCCATCGCCACACTCTGCCATGTGCCACTTTCAGGTCTCCTCACACTGCTGGTGCTGTCCATTTTGTCATAGGGTGCTGGCAGATTACGGGCCTCCCATTGCTGCTGCCAGGCCCGTAATCTGCCATGGGCCCCTGTACCGCCTCCTCATGCTGCTGCCAGGTCCAGAGTGTCTCATGGGTCCCTGTACGGCCTCCCATTGCTGCTGTCTCCATCGCCACACTCTGCCATGTGCCACTTTCAGGTCTCCTCACACTGCTGGTGCTGTCCATTTTGTCATAGGGTGCTGGCAGATTACGGGCCTCCCATTGCTGCTGCCAGGCCCGTAATCTGCCATGGGCCCCTGTACCGCCTCCTCATGCTGCTGCCAGGTCCAGAGTGTCTAATGGGTCCCTGTACGGCCTCCCATTGCTGCTGTCTCCATCGCCACACTCTGCCATGTGCCACTTTCAGGTCTCCTCACACTGCTGGTGTGTTCCATTTTGTCATAGGGTGCTGGCAGATTACGGGCCTCCCATTGCTGCTGCCAGGCCTGTAATCTGCCATGGGCCCCTGTACCGCCTCCTCATGCTGCTGCCAGGTCCAGAGTGTCTCATGGGTCCCTGTACGGCCTCCCATTGCTGCTGTCTCCATCGCCACACTCTGCCATGTGCCACTTTCAGGTCTCCTCACACTGCTGGTGCTGTCCATTTTGTCATAGGGTGCTGGCAGATTACGGGCCTCCCATTGCTGCTGCCAGGCCCGTAATCTGCCATGGGCCCCCGTACCGCCTCCTCATGCTGCTGCCAGGTCCAGAGTCTCTCATGGGTCCCTGTACGGCCTCCCATTGCTGCTGTCTCCATCGCCACACTCTGCCATGTGCCACTTTCAGGTCTCCTCACACTGCTGGTGTGTTCCATTTTGTCATAGGGTGCTGGCAGATTACGGGCCTCCCATTGCTGCTGCCAGGCCCGTAATCTGCCATGGGCCCCCGTACCGCCTCCTCATGCTGCTGCCAGGTCCACAGTGTCTCATGGGTCCCTGTACGGCCTCCCATTGCTGCTGTCTCCATCGCCACACTCTGCCATGTGCCACTTTCAGGTCTCCTCACACTGCTGGTGCTGTCCATTTTGTCATAGGGTGCTGGCAGATTACGGGCCTCCCATTGCTGCTGCCAGGCCCGTAATCTGCCATGGGCCCCTGTACCGCCTCCTCATGCTGCTGCTGCCAGGTCCAGAGTCTCTCATGGGTCCCTGTACGGCCTCCCATTGCTGCTGTCTCCATCGCCACACTCTGCCATGTGCCACTTTCAGGTCTCCTCACACTGCTGGTGTGTTCCATTTTGTCATAGGGTGCTGGCAGATTACGGGCCTCCCATTGCTGCTGCCAGGCCTGTAATCTGCCATGGGCCCCTGTACCGCCTCCTCATGCTGCTGCCAGGTCCACAGTGTCTCATGGGTCCCTGTACGGCCTCCCATTGCTGCTGTCTCCATCGCCACACTCTGCCATGTGCCACTTTCAGGTCTCCTCACACTGCTGGTGCTGTCCATTTTGTCATAGGGTGCTGGCAGATTACGGGCCCTCCCATTGCTGCTGCCAGGCCCGTAATCTGCCATGGGCCCCCGTACCGCCTCCTCATGCTGCTGCCAGGTCCAGAGTCTCTCATGGGTCCCTGTACGGCCTCCCATTGCTGCTGTCTCCATCGCCACACTCTGCCATGTGCCACTTTTAGGTCTCCTCACACTGCTGGTGGGTTCCATTTTTTTGTCATAGGGTGCTGTATGGCCTCCCATTGCTGCTGCCTCCACCGCCACACTGTGGCTCCACACTCTGGTTTTGGCCCCGTGACTGCCCAAATGAGTGAAGTGTGCAGTGATTCTAAGATCGACGGCACTCATCTGCATGTCATACTGACTGACAGTATTATTTCTCTTCCCCAGCAGACTCCAAGGGCATTTAAATTAAAGGTACAGTGTTCTGCACTAATATAAAGGCTCTCTGAAGCTTAGAAACACCCTTTTATAAGTTAAATTCGCAGCGAATATATTCGCCTCGAATCAAATTTATTCCTCGAATTTGCCGAATCAGCCGAATCGAATTTTTGAATACTTCGCTCATCTCTAGTGTTCAGATTCTGAAATGATATATATTCAGCACTGGATAGCTCCTGAAATATTTATCATCCATTTAAAAGAACTCTGGAGGCTGTCATTGCTGGCTTCTTCCCGTCATACTATCTTGCCTATCCAATTATATTTTCTGAGCCACCATGCTGAAGTTCTAAATTTGAATCCATACCCCACTGAAGTAAATGGGAGACAAATCTTTAAAATCAGTTCTGGACATTTTCAAGGCTAAGAGACAAGGAATTCTTAGATGACATGGCTGCTGATGCCCATACCTTGGGGGCCTAAAAGGTGCAAAAAAAATGTTTTTTTTTAATACCATTTGGCAGGGAGTAGCAATTTTAATAATGCTTAAAGTGAAACATTAAAATTCCCATTTCCTATAAATAACGTGCTTGGGATGCCCTAAACCTGCATGTGAATTGGCATACCTGTATGTTGTATACAATGCACTACAGCAAAACAATGACATTTCCCTGCCAGCTTGGTTTGCTTTGTAGAAAAAAAAAACAGCTTGGAGACCCTTCAAAATACATACTATAAACTCTCAAGAGTTAAGTGTGGATTTTGGGGGACCTTTGGAGGAGTACCCATGCCATTGTCTAAAATGTCACTTTTTTTTATTACATCCTACATAAAAAATTAACACAATTCAGGCCAGAACTCTTATTTTTGTTGAGGGTCCTTTCATGGACAGAAAAAAAAACAGCATGCCCCCCCCCCCCATCCATATAGATACTGGACTGGTAAGGATTTTAAGGGGAGTCCTTGCAAAGTAATAGACTCCCCCAAAATCTATACCAAGCCTTTCATCCCCCTTCCCCATCAAATCACCTTGTCTCTATGCTGATAAGTACAAGGGCCTCTTCTCCACAACCCTGGCCCAAGGGTTGTGGGGGTCTGTGGGCGGGGGGCTTATCAGAATCTGGAAGACCCCTTTAAAAAACAGGAAAGTTCCCAGAAAACCCCCCGACTAGAATGAATAAGGGGTACATGGTGTCTCTACTTATTCACAAAAACAGTAAACCATATATACACACACTTTGACAAGGCCTTTATTTAAACAAAATGCCCTGATATAAATTAATTGTCAATTTATTAGCCCAAAGCCTGGAAAGTGGTTCTTACTGCTGGTTCTTACTGCTGAGCTAAAGGAAACTGGGATATGTACAGGAAGGTCCTGCAGATGATACGGTATACATGATAAAATGTTCATTTTCAAGATATTACACCTGCCAAACCATGAATAGAGTATACAGGAGGAAAAGTGACCACATACCCTTTTGTAATGTCCCTAGGGATGTGGATTCCCAGATATTTTGTAACAGTTTCCCACTATTTGATGGGAAGATTGCCCTGCAAAAAAGAAGCTATTTATTACATCTCTGCAAAACATGCTTTTTTTCTCTGTTTTATGATTGAAAAGCACTGCAAGTACAGAAAAATATCCGTTGATTTGCCTCAGATTCAAACTTCCTGTTTGGATTGTCAAAACAGTGCTTAAGCTGTACTGAAATTTTGAATTGCATTATCACTCTGCCTGGAATACACTATGTGTACAATTAATAGGCAAGTGAGTTTTTTGACCAAATCCTCATTTTTATGCATATTGTCCAACTCCAAGCTGTATAAACGTGAATTCTTATTGGATTTAAGCATATCAGGTGATGTGTATTTGTGCAATGAGTGAGCGTGTGCACTAAGGAGAGCAACACTCTATATCAAGGTGTGCATAATTATTAGGCAGCTTCTTTTCCTCTGGCAAAAAGGGCCAAAAAAGAGATTTAACTAACCCTGAAAAGTAAAAATTGTAAAAAGTCTTTCAGAGGGATGCAGCTCTCTTGAAATTGCTAAGATGTTGGGGTGTGATCACAGAACCATCAAACGTTTTGTTGCAAATAGTCAACAGGGTTGCAAGAAAAGTGTTGAGAAAAAAAAAGCAAATTAATTGTCAAATATTTGAGGAGAATTAAACTTGAAGCTATCAGGAACCCATTATCCTCCAGTGCTGTCAAATTCCAGAGCTGCAACCTACCTGGAGTGTCCAGAAGTACAAGGTGTTCAGTGCTCAGAGACATGGCCAAGGTAAAGAAGGCTGAAACCCGACCACCACTGAACAAGACACATGTGTTGAAATGTTAGGACTGGGCAAAGAAATACTTTACCTGAAGACAGATTTCTCAAAGGTTATATGGACTGATGGGATAAGAGTGACTCTTGATGGACCAGATGGATGGGCCTGTGTCTGGATCAGTAATGGGCACAGAGCTCCACTTTCACTCAGATGCCAGCAAGGTGGAGGTGGGGTTCTGATATGGGCTGCTATTATTACAGTAATAATACCATACACCAATTTCACATGAGCTCTCAGCAGCTGCCCCTCAAGAATTTCACAAGCCTGCTGATGACAGTAACAGCTGTTTATTGATACAGGAGCAAAGTGAAAGAAAAATACTTATTCAAAAACATGCTCCAGAAGTGACAAAGGTAGTTTGGAGGTAAAAATATTGGTCATACCTATACACATCTTTAAGACCTTGTACTTATAAATTCCCACATCTTATTAGTGCTGCTTGTAATTAGCATATATTGCATAATCTTTACCTTTACCAGTTTTTAATTAATCAGATTTTATTGTGAATGTAAAATTGAGCAACATTTAATGACTCAAACACTTTGTATGATATTGTAGTTTAGCTAATAAACCAGCACATGTTTATGTTGTGGTTGTTCAGGCTTGTTAAAGCCACATATTGGACTGCTCTTTTTCCGTAGTCCAGTGGGTTGCAGAGAGTGATGGCTTATTATAAGAGATAGTCACACAGAGCTGGATTGAAAAACACAGACATAAAGGTGTTAAAATAAGTGGTGTGTGTGACTGGGAGAGGGAGGTCAGTGTGTTGCATAAATGGCCCTGCTAAGTATGCCAGGTTTGTCTTGGATCTGAAAGAACCTATTTCTGAAACTAGAGACGTTTAATTGGGAAAGGGACCTTTGCAGCTCATTAGGATGTACAGTAATAATGAATTACTGGCACTGTTATGAAATAGAAACAGGAAAGAGCTTACCCCATGTATGATGTAGGAGCTAAGTTAAACCGTCAATCTTCGATAACATACATACCGCTTCTGAATAGTGACAAAGAAACTTTGTGTAAATCAATGCCACGCTGATCCATACATACCATACCATGCCACAGGTCCAAGACTTCACCCCTCCTCCCCCTTTCCCCAGTAACTGGTATCGTTTCCCCAGCCCCAGACACCTTCATGCACAGTGGAAATTGACAATCTGCATGTATCTTTACACAGTACTTTAAACTATATAACACAATGTCTCCTGTATTGTTTAGAGCTAATGATTCTTTATAGAAAGCTGAAGATGACTTAAATAAAACAGCCTAACATGTGATGTTATAACTTTGTTTCTCTGCATGATAACATTGAGTATCTAGAACACAATTCTATAACCTATACTCATATTTTACAAGACTTGAAACCCAAAAAAAGATTGTAAAAGAAAAGAAAACTGTAAAAATAAAATCAAGTGTATTACCTTTTTGTCCATAAAGTCACAACTGCACCATTATTAAACAGTATTAATGGTGAAAATGATACTGTCTCAGGCTGTTGCACTTATTTGTGTTTTTTAGTGTTTTAATAAAGAGTATTAAACTGTATGTTGATTTTCAGTATCTAAAACCTGGCACTGTTAGCAGGTAAAGAAAAATGTGTTCCCACATTCCTTAAACTGTATCCTTAGACTTTAGGTCATTCCTAAATCCTTCACTTATCTGAACCCTAAACCTTATCATCACTCCTCAACATAACAACCCTTTACTCAACTCTGAAACATTACACTTAAAAGACGAACTTTACCCCCATCCTCGCCCTCCCCCCCCTTACCTTTTTTTTTTCACTGAGTAAGCCACAAGAAAATATACACACTGGATCTTGCATTGACGTCTTCTATGATGTCATCAGGGGGGCCCCCTGTCTCTTCTGGATACTTGCAGCCAGTCTCCTGATGATGGGTATGTCAACAGGGGACCAGCTTCTAGTACCAGGAAGAGATTTTTCTGAAAGAAGAAAATAAATAAAAAATAATAATAATTTGTGATTTTAACTAATTCAAGTCTGGACACTCTCACCTCCTTCTAGTGTGAGGTATGGTGGTGATCAGGAAATTGGTTTGAGGTATGGCAGTGATCTGGACACTGGACACTGGTATGGCGGTGATCAAGATGCCGGTATGGCGGTGAACAGGATGCTGATATGGCATATAGGGTTATCAGAACGCTGGTATGGTGGTGATCAGGATGCTGGTATGGTGGTGATCAGGACACTAGCATGGCATATGGGGTGATCAGGATGCTGGTATGGTGGTGATCAGGACATTGGTATGGTGAATGGCAGTGTTATTGTGCGCACTGGGGCAGGGTGCATGGTGGCGATCAGAGCGAAAGTATGCCATATGGCAGTGATCAGGGCACTGGTATTGCATATGGCGGCGATCAGGGTGCTGATATGGCATATGTGACATCAGACGTAACTGGAAGTGCTGCGGCTGCCATTTTTGTACAGGTTGTTTGTACTTGTCTTTCATGTAAGCGCAATTTTATCATTAAATTGATCATTTTACACTACTGCTGCACTATGGGCTTGTATGTTTGCTTTTATATGGTCATTGAGAGTTTAAGTTGAGGGTAAGAGTAATTAGTGGTTAGTGGTGGATAAGATTCACACAGTGTTTTATATTTTGCATGGGTGTATCACGTATTACATTACAGGTGAAACTCGAAAAATTTTAATATCGTGCAAAAGTGCATTTATTTCAGTAATGCAATTTAAAAGGTGAAACTAATA